ATAACCAGCGAGACTTTGCCGGCTATCGACCCCGACTGGTGGTGATATGGGTACCCGCACTTTGTCCATGTTATGTTCTTGGCGACTGGATGGCATCACTGTTAGCTGAGGTACATCATGGCTTGTAAGAGGGGGGGGGGCAGGGGGCATATCTCACGTAAAGACTGCTCCAAGTCACACACCGCACGTATACAGACGCGAAAGGCCTCAATAGCGAGCTTATCCTGGCATAGACATGTCGTCGTCAAGTTGGTGACGGCGCATGTTGTGATGTTGACGGCCTGCGTCAGACACGGTATCTAACAACACCAAAACATGACATCGTCAGCTTCCCATAACGTTGTAGTAGTATATCGCATACCCGAGCCACATAGGCCAGTACGGTATCAGAGAAGGAAGTCAAACTTACGGCACAGTCCGGCAGGCCATCCGCCAAGTGAAGCGCCATCGGGGCAACAGCTCAGGTAGATCTCGACAACAGTATCGATGGGGAGGATTCGTTGTCCATGAGCAGTCTTTGCAGGCGGGAAGAGAAGGTTGTCGATTCAAGAAGGCATTACGACATGTTTCTCGCGTCTAGTCTTCTAATTCTCCACCTCTTGGCTCCCTTTTAATTCGATCCTCGCGGCTCGTATGGGAAGGGAGAAAGGAGGAAGAGGGGGATCCAGGGGTTTTCTGGGGGAAGCCCGCTCCGGGGAATTAAACTGAGTTTATGTCTCATGGTTGAAGTGAATCGTTCCCTTGTTTGCGACATGGTAAGATCAAAGAAGGACTATTTTGCTACTAACGTGGTGATCGGGGGTCCGAGTCTAACCTCTACCAGGTACGGTGGCATTTATTTCCGTTTGCGGACATCGAGGAAGAGAGACTAGAGAAAGAAGCGATTGCGAAATTATACTTTTCGACCTAAATAAGAGTGAATATTGGACACTAGAGGAGCCCCCAAAACCCACAAACTTCACAATATCTGGGTTAGAGGAGGAGAAAAATGAAGAGCAGTGACGTTGCCGGGATCCCGGTGGTTTGGTAACAGCTGTTGCGGCGAAAGCTGTGCATGCATCCATCACCACCCGTCTTCCCCGTTGGAGGTTGCAAACTTGCAGGGGAGGGTGCGGAGTGGGGGACCCGAGGGGTCGGGTTCGTCCGTCCTACATGCGGCCCCCTCCTCCACCGTCCCGGAGTCTTGGCATCTGTTTCTTCAACCTCTTTTTATGATTATAATAGACTCTGGGATTTTGTGATTACTTATAAACACATCATTGAGCCTAGGTCAGTCTAGAAGATACGGCGGACGTCTCATCGTGAGAATTACTCCAATGCTCATATTCTTGGTAATGCGAAAGCGACGTATAAGCATGTACTGCTCAAACAACTCGTTTCACTTTCATCAATGATTCCAAAAACACCACCATCTACCCTTGAGGGAGACGATACTGACGATGGATCCTTCGCAACCCATAGCTTGACCATCAAGTCTCCATTGTATACGCATCTGCCGAACTCCAGAATCGAGGCAAACCCGCAAACCGACCAAGACATAACGCATCCATTAAAGACACGGGCCCCAGCATCCCGCAATGAGTTTAACCCCGGGCCACCGCCGCCGCCACAAACCACCACAATACCTCGTCAACGATGAGACCCCGTCTCAAGCCACACGCCTCTTCCGACCACTTCCATCGAGAGAGAGGGAGTCTGCCGACATCAAAGGCTAGACCTGGAAACCCCCCACTCTCGATGACGATATCCCGCGCTTTGATGGTCTCCAGTTCTCCGTGCTTCAAGCCTTCAAATCCCAGCCTCCACGAGATCCTTTTAGTGCTTGATTGCCCCCCATCTCGCTGTGCCCTCGCTCATTTAGGGACGAGCCTAGAATCGTGTTCTCCGAAGACCTTGTTTATAATTGTTTTTGTGGCTGGTGAAAGGCTTAGCGACGCGGGAAAGGCGTCCACGATGTCAGTCACTCGTTCACATGGCAAACCGAAGTCGCAATGCTACTCAGTTTTGCTTCTGACTTGAAGTTCTCAGCCTACTCATCTAGTGAATACAGTCACAACAGCCAAGGCGAAGAGTTTGCCAGCGGAAATTATCTCCATCCCTGGAAAAAGATCCATTGATATGAGCCCATGTACATATTGACCCCGGGCCTGAATATTTTGGCCAAGGGGACCTTTATCATTCCCATGTTGTTTGAATTGGGATTCCAGGGACGATGCTACCGTTGTAAGACTTTTTGGCCTGCGCCATTGTCTGTCTATAGACTGTTCTCATCCGGGCGCATTGTAGAAGCGATCCGCGGAAAGATTAAACAGAAATAGATTAGCGAGCAACGTAGACCTCAAAAGACCTTCTAGGTCTAGCCGTGAGATTCGCCCTCTGCTTCGTAGACGAACTTCTCACATCGCAGATGAAGTCAATTGCTGAACACGTAGTGCTATTTGATCATACACCGTAGCCATTGATCTGCAGCAACCCTGTTTCGCTCTGGTACTTTGAGAAATCTGGTGCTGGAGTAATTTGAGACTTCATACTGTTTCTCGTGAGACTTATCGCTGGGTAACTGGGGTTTGATCCGACTCTCAGTGAAGCTATCAACAAATTCCCTCACAAACATTTCTCGTCCCTCGCCCCTTGCCAGGACCCGGAAATACACCTGACTATACTGACAACGGCTAGAGCTAGGGAGGAGACGTCGCATTTTCGAGTTCCGAGAGAAAAGTTGCACCACTTAGGCTCACTCATTGGACACCGGGCTCTGTTCTGGGGTGCCAGATCTGGCAGACCGAGGGCCGTGAAGATGGCTATTGCTCACGGAGTAGGCCCCCTTAGTCCCGTTGTTTATCCTGGTTATGGCTTTGGAGCTACTCTCAACAGAAAGACTGCCCTCCAGGCATTGATGCGAAATGATAGCATTGGACCTATATCGTGGGAGGAAATCTGTAAGGTAGGATGCGGTTACCAGATGGAAGGGTATCTGAGATTCAAACCATACTTGTTTTCGATAACTTTCCACCCACCACCTCCTTTCAATCCTTCTTATCACGTGAGGCGATTTTTCTCTAGAGATTTTCCACACTCACACATCTGTCATTCATGTGGAGTTCCTACTCCTTACTACACACAGTGCTGTCTAGATTCTCGGAGAGACAAAAAAAAGGCCGAGTGTTATCAGTGATACCCGAGTGACACGGTGACCACAAAACAAGTATCTCGTGTCAAAGGAGTATTGGTCGAGCTCACAACAAGAACCTTAAGTGTAAAGGGTGAAACACTGACTTTTTGTCCTTCTACTTGACGTTATCTACATCCAACGTGCTCGAGGACTTCCACGCAACACCATCCTTTATAGCCTTCAACACCGCTCCCAACCTCTTGACACCCTCAACAACATCCCCCTCCGGCTCCCACGAGAAACACAACCGAATCTCCCGATCAAATCTCGCAGCGTCCTCGTCCCCATGCACCTCAAACTGCGCACCATGCCCAATCACAAGATTCTCCGTCTCCTTAGCCCTCACAGCAACCTCCCGACTCGACATGCCCTCAGGCAAACTAAACCACACAAAATACCCGCCAAACACCTCAGCCCCCTTCAACGCCGACCCGCGCACAACAACACCTTCGCCAAGCGGCTTCTGGATATACTCTGCAATCGCGCGCATCATAGCCCCATGCCGCCTCGCGAGCGCAGGGCGCGTCTCCTCATCCAACTGCCTCTGCAGCTCCCCGCTCTCGAGCAGCTCCGCGACCATCATGGCAGCCAACTGGCTCGGCGCGCCGCCGCTACACGTCGATCCCGTCTGCGAGAGCCCGTACGCGAACGCGGGACTTCCCTCGGCCCATCCCGTACGCACGCCGGGGGCGACGATCTTGCTGAAGGACCCGTTGGAGACTGCGTTGCCAAAGGAGGCATCGGGGACGCCTAGGCTGCGGTCAATGTCTACGAGGCGGGGGACGCGCATTTCGGGGGTGTAGCCTGGCTGAGGCGGGGTGGAGAGGGGCCATTGGAGGAAGTCGTAGACGTCGTCGGAGACGAGGAGGGCGTCGTGTTTGCGGGCGAGGAGGACGAGCTCGTAGCGGCGGCGGAAGGACATTGTTTTGCCTGTTGGGTTGGAGCAGGTTGGGACCAGGTAGATTACGTGGCGGTAGAGTTTTCTCTTCTTGGCTTCCTTGAAGTGCTGTTGATTGGTTTTAGCTGGATTTCCTTTTTTGTTCTCTTCTTCTCATCGTTGATGTCATGTCGTGAGGCTTTTCACGATGAGATGATACGGGGGTGGGAGAAGCTGCTTGTAGCAACAGCCCCGCGTAGAAAGGCTCACCTCATCGCCACCTTGTCCTGCGGCCTCGAGCCCCTTTCTCAAGTATTCGATATCAATACCATCATCATCTTCGGGAACAGCCTTCAGGCGCCCGTCGAACCCGGCGTCAGCAAAGATGGGGCAGGCGAGAAAGTAGCATGGCGCCACCATCCAGACATTCTTCGTGTAGAGCGGATCAGTGAAGGACTGCAGAATACACGCCAGATTCTGGCTCGCGCCGCCCGTGACGCAGATGCGCCGGACATCGGGCGGGTGGTGGCCGGCGGCTACGGTAGTGGTGGTCGTGTTGGTGGTGGCAACATCCGCGACCGACGGAGGTGCGGGGTCGACGGCGGGGTAAAATGCCGCCAGCCAGCGGGCGATGGACTCGCGGAGAGGCTGGTATCCCGGGTCCGGACCGTACTGGAGCCCCGGGACATAGGCGGCGGGGTCGGCGAGGGTCTTTACGGCCGCGGCGGAGAGAGCTGCGGCCGGGAGGAGGGATGGCGAGGGCCAGCCTCGGAGGAGGTTGATTGGCTTCTTGTGCAAGGGGGCGTTCATGCTTGATGATGAGAGAGAATTTGCCGAGGTGAAGAAGGATCGTCGAGGTGCCGAGTGTGGATCAAAATTCAATGGTGGCTTGCGAGTGTATACACTGGTCGCGCAAGTTGATGAGATGCGGGTGTCGTGTGTGAGGGGTTGGTGGTGGTGGTGGTGGTGGTGGCGAGGTGATTGAGTGAAGTGTTTGAATACAGTTGTCACGCGATGCTTCATCACCTCCGCTCGAGCTTTTGGTTCACTAATGGAATTCAACGACGACCTCGATCGACTGCAAAGTATTGATTACTTATAGTTGTATGTCAGAGTGAAGTTCAAGGTTGTCGCCTCCGAATGCGGAGGCCCCAAAGATAGGAAATGCGCTGGCCCCACGCAGCATTTCGCAATCATAGCGGCACATCAAGGAACCGGCAGTGTTTAACAAATATCCTTGGGTATGAAGACTTATTCGTCTGAATGAAACTTGTTTCTTTCCTAGGTAGTGGTAAAATGTAGGGGTATCATATGCTCCAAAATCAATGTCTTTTCAAACGCCTCGTCATTGACACCAGTCTAAGGGAAACCCCCTTTTTACCAACCCCATGTTCTCGTAGAAGCCGTAAACACTGGTGGCTTCCACTGGATCTTGCTCGGATCAATCAACCTCTTCTGCTTCACCTTCTGCTTCTCCCTCTGCTGGATCAGCTTCTCAGGAATCACGATCTTGTGCTCTCCCTTATGATACACCTGCATCTTAAGCGCCTGTAAGGTGTGCTCTACGTCTTGCGGAATTATGGCAAGAGCCGTCGAGATGGCTTCAATCGTAGTCTTCTCATCGCGCTCATTGTAACCAACAATGAGGTCCAAAATGTTTTCACCCCAGTACTGCCGATAACTAAGTAGACCCAAATCAGAAAGCGGCTTTTCTGGCGAACCGAGCTTGCCTTCGATCCTTGATAGTTCGTACGAGAACTGAATGAGCAATCGACCGTAACCTTTGCGCTGATACTGAGGCAGAGTCAAAATACAAGCTACGTTATATCCGTCCGCACTCTCCTTTTCTTTGGAAAAGTATCCGATAATGTGGCAGCCCTTGTCGCTTCGACTTGTCATGACGTAGAACAAGAAGGGATCGACATCGTAGTATAGTGTCTTGTGGTCAAGGAACATCTTGGACAAGAGACACAAGTTACGGCAGTAGGTGCGTTGCCGTCTACCGTCGATCTCGAAGAAAGAGACAGACTCGTCGCGATAGATTTCGTTTCCAGGAGGGTGTTGCAAAGTACACTTGTGTCTGTGCCTAACAAAGGACTTTTCATCGCCATAGTACCCGAGGCAAAACTCGCAGATGAAAATAACATCTTCCTGGTTGAATACCTCGGGGTACGGGGAAAAGTACCAAGGGAACAAGTCGTGCTTTCCAAACTGGACCTTTGAGATATTTCGAATTCGGGAGATCTCGGCCGGGTTCTGCGTCATAGAGCCGTGTGTCCTCAGCTTCTCGATCTCGTCTTCTCGGCTGAAGCCACTGAGTAAATCTTTCTTCTGGACCTCCTCCTCCAGGTCGATTTCCATTTCATCGCCTCCGGCCGCGGGGGTGGCCGTTGCATCGCCCGTAGCCGTGACCGGAGTCTGACTCTGGCTCTCCTCGGCCGTCGGCGTCATCTTACGGCTCTGCGACTCGACGAACTCGGTCCATGGGTGCGGCGTTGCAGCCTCTGAAGGCGCAGACTGCTCCCTCTTCGAAGGTCGCTTCTGAGACTTCTTGGAGACCTTGTTTTTTGACGTGACCACACCTTTCTTCGTCTTAGGATCTTTCGGTTTGTCCTTGTCGGGTAATGGCCACTCGACATCTTGGTCGAAATCAATTCGGATCGTCGGCACCCATTCGTCGAGACGCTTGTTGAAATTGTCAAAGTTGCAGTAGAATTGGCGACCGCTCTTCGTTTCTTTGATGCTAAGAATCTCGGCTCGACGTGGGATGCCTTCTTTCTTGACCATGGCGATACATCCTGCTCTGCGCTCGATGAGTTAGTTGGAAGACTCGCATGGGGGGCAGAGCGGGATGGTGGGGGGTTGGAAGGACGAACCTGATTGTTTCCGGGGTAGCCTTTCCCTTTTGTCGGGGCTCACTGGAGCCGACAGAGGCCTCGCCATTGGCACCGTGTGCCGCCATGATGAATACTCGATGTGGTGGTTGATAGTCGATGGATGTTGATGAAATGCGACAATCGGTTCGCTGTTCTCGGTCGCAAAAGATGATTGAACCGCTGCAGGAACAGGAAGGTGGTGTGGCAGAAAGCGCGAACTGCCCAAGGCGGTGAAGAAATTGCCGTGAACCCTTGCAAGGAAGGTACGCTAGCCCAGGCGCCGACTCCACTCCATCCGACCTCGATAAGTGCATTTTTTTCATTTTCTCTCATTCGGGCTCGACTTTCATCACTGACTTAACATCGAAGACTTTCTCATTTACCGTTTTTAATATTTCGAAAAACATCAAATAGTTTCCTCTCGCCGATACACGAGCGGTCATCTCCGAAGTTATCTCATTCGGAAGCAGAGAATATGGCCCCTGAGCTGTCGTCAAATTGGAAGAAGCTCCAGGCACAACTCAAAGCGGCAGGCCCATCTTCTTCCTCAACTACACCAGCCAAGACATCTGGAGGTGTCAAGAGAAAAGCAGAATCTTCAACCTCGGACCAACGACAGCCTAAAAAGAAGAAGACTACTTCCAAAACGTCTGGACAACCTACGCACACCCCAAACCCAAAGACCGCAAAAGCAAAGAACGGACGCATGGGTGTTGCACAAAGCTCAAAGGTTGAAGTCGAACCAAAGGTCGGCCCGTCGCCGTCACTCGCTCTCTGGGCCGAGGACAATGACATCTCGTCGGAAGCACTGGCTGAGGCCTACGGCCTCGGGCTGAAAAACAACTCCATGCTCGGATCCGAAAAGGATAAGATCAACTCCGGTCTCATAGAAGGGCTCGAGGTGGGCAAGTACATCGCCATCGACTGCGAAATGGTTGGTGTTGGAGATGGAGGATACGAATCGGTCTTGGCTCGTGTGAGCATCGTTGACTTTCACGGACGCCAAGTATACGACTCGTATGTGAAGCCCCAAGAGCGGGTGACGGACTGGCGAAGTGCTGTGAGCGGGATCCTTCCTAAGCACATGAGATTTGCCCGAGATTTCGACGAGGTCCAGAAGGAAGTCGCCGCGCTACTCAAAGACAGGATAGTGGTTGCCCACGATATCAAGCACGATCTGGACTGCTTGAAACTCAGTCATCCGAGTAAAGACATTCGCGATACGGCCAAGCACCCTGGGTTTCGGCAGTACGGCAACGGCAGTAAGCCAGCGCTGAGAAGACTTGCAGAGGAGTTGCTCAAGGTCACCATCCAAGGCGGTGCTCACTCAAGTATCGAAGATGCGCGGGTTACGATGCTCTTGTTCAGGAAACACAAGTCCGCATTCGACGTGGATCACGCCAACCGCTTTCCTCGATTTGGAGGCGCTTCGATAAATTCAAAGCCAAAGTCTAATAAGTCCAAGAAAAAGAAATGAGTCTTTATCCTCTACGCTGCTCTAAATCTCATCGAGGCCCTGGGGCCCTCATGCATCCGTGTCTTCAAGATTATGACACGGTCTTGTTCCCTCCAACAATTATGTCCACTTTCTTCATAGCGGAATGCCTTCCATCAACTCCAGAGCGCCCTCGCGCCCCACGGTTATTATTGCGTCGCCAAGCGTCTTTGTTCGGAATCCGGCTTCGCAGTATGTGAAGTAGTACTGCATGGCCAAATTAGCTTAGAAATACCACAAGAGGGATAGATGGTACGTGTCTTACCTCCCACTTCCTTCTAAATACATCTATTTCTTCTTCAGTCATGTCATCATGCTCACGTTTCAACGCTGGACGGATCTTGGAATCAAAGTTGCGGAGGAACTCCTCCTTCCACAGCCTCAGGGTTTTTGAGTAGTGGCCACCAATGTTCTCCACCTTTTCGACAATGAGAGTGCCCTTGGACTCCTTGCTGATGTGGTTCAACAGCTGAGTGATCGATGGGAGGTAGCCTCCCGGGAAGATGTAGTGGTTGATGAAACTGCAGGCTGTCAGCACGCGACCCCATTTCGTGGGTCTAATATTTGCGACTTACTCTTCGCCTTTGGAATACGCCTCATGACGACCCTCGGGCATCGTGATGCACTGGAACACGGCAATACCCCCATCCTTCTTCAGCAACCTATCCATTTGCGCGAAATACGTCGCCAGGAACTCCTGTCCAACGGCCTCCAGCATCTCAATGGACACAATCTTGTCAAACGGCCTGCCCGGCGTCTCCAACTCTCGGTAATCCGTGAGCCTGACGTCGATACGGTCAGAGAACCCCGCGGCCTCGATGCGTTCCTCCGCGAGCGCCTTTTGCTCCTTGGATAGCGTCAAGCTCGTCACGCGGCAGCCCGTCTTCTTCACCGCCTCGATCGCAAAGGAACCCCAGCCCGTGCCGATCTCCAGCACGTGGTCCGACGGCTTGATGCGCGCGCCGTCGATGAAGCGGTGCAACTTGGTCATTTGCGCCTGCTCCAGCGTCTCTTCCGGCTCGTTGGGGTCGTCGGCGCTGCTTTGCGGTTTCCAGATGGGGCACGAGTACGTCATGTCCGGCGAGAGGAATGCGGCGAACATATCGTTACTGATGTCGTAGTGCGCCGAAATGTTGAGGAGGGCGTTGGACAGGGTGTTTGTGGTACGCGCCAGGCTCGAGACGGCGGTGGACAAGCTCGATATCCAGGTCGTTCCGTTGCCCATTTCTTCGCGGTTGACGATGAAGAGCTGTGAACGCCGTGTCAAGTTAGCCACACATCGTCTCCCCGCCGAACAGGACCAAATCTACACAACCACCGGCACCTGTTCCCGCCTTGTGTTTGTTTTGTGTACTGACCTGAAAGAAGGCAGTCAAGTCCTTGCACTCAATCTCCCCCAGCATATACGACTCAGCGAACCCCATGTCGGCGAACAAGAACAAGCGCATCCAGAACGCATCGCTCTTGACGACCAACTCCACGCGGGGCACGGCATCGGCGCGGCGGGGCACATGGTCGCCGTTGGTCAGGTTCTCGTTGTACTTTGCGCCCAGCTTCTGGCCAAACACCCTCCGGAGCTCGGCGGGCTCGTCGACGAGCAGGAGGGTGCCGCGCTCAATCTTTGAAAAGACGGAGAGGATGGCGGGCTTGGCCACCGACAGGGCCGGTCCCCAGGTCAGGCTGCCGACGGCGCCTCTCACGAGCTCGGTGCCGCGGTAGAGGGGTTTGGCGACGGCCGCTGGGACCAGCGAGGGGAGCTTGGGCATGGCTGCGCGCGTAGAGGGACGGTCCGTAGATACAGTAAAGTAGTAGTCGCGGAGGTCCTGTTTACGGTGTTTTTATGTACGAGACCCGAACAAAGCCCAATGGCTTTTGGTGTAAGGTACAGGACTGGACTGGCGCAGTTCAACCAAAGGTCAATTGAGTTGAGCAAGCCGCCGGGGAACCTAAAACCGAAGCTCTCAAGGTAGGTAGGTCACTGGGATGCTGCATACAGCTCTCTCTCACTACTCTCGAGAGAAGATGGAGGGGGGCAAGCAAGGCAAGCTGGATGGGATGTGTGGGAGGAGGGGTGGAATGCAAAAGTTAACAGGAAACGAGCAGAGAGGGACATGTTCGCATCTGAGACCGCCAGCAAGGGGGCGGGACGGGTATCATTTTATTGCAAGAGGCAACCCCCCGAAGGAGACCAATGTCACTCCAAGCATGTCAAGGCAAGGCTAAACTTCTAAAGGCGTGTGTGTGAGTTAGCTTGCCGGTGGGTAAGGTAGTGTGTAGTCTTAAAGGGGAACCGGCAACGGCACATGAGTGCAGCGAGGGAATGTAGAGGAAGAAGAGCGCATGCTTCCAATTCTTGTCTCGTCCATCGGTACCGTCGCAAGCCCGAGGGTCAAAAAATGGGGACGCATGGGAGGGTCCAACCCAGGCTTTGCCAGGATGAGCATGGGTGGGAACCTGGGAAGAGTGGGTGCGGCAAGGGTAGCTCAGACGGGAATCACTCGGGAGGGGCAGAGGCCTTGGCCATCGCTTGTTTCACTGAGGAAATCGAACATCTCCAAAGGGGGAGGGGGGAGGTTGACGATCTCATCGGCATCTAGGGTTCCTGTTCGTTGCCTTGCCTACCATGGAGGGAGGATTTGAATAGTCTCTGGGTTCTGAGCTCGACTTTGGTTTCGACATTATTCAATGGCTCTCTGCCAAACCACCTTACCGAAATCATTGACGCATCTAACTGACTGCAAGACAATTCTTGACAGCGGCTGGCTGCTGACAACGAACTCCTCCTCCTACTACTCCTCCCCAACAAAATTTCTTGGGGCCAGGGCTGTTAGTGTAAACCAAGGGATGATGTCAGCTTCCTACGGAGGCACGGCGAGCCGAACGCATGGTAAGTTGGGGGAACGCATGGCAATGCATGTGCGCGAGCTATGATCGGAGTGGTGTATCCGGCAAGCTCATTCGTCAATACAGGCTTGTAAGAATGGTTGAAGAAACCACCTCAATAACACCTTGTCTTTACCTACTTTGTAAGGTTTTACCACCTACCACCTTGTCTCTCAATGGGCCAGTGCGCTACCGGACCGTCCGGCCACGTTCAGCCTCGAACTGTTTTAGTCTCGCTGCTTGGGAAGAAGTTGGGTTGGGGGGAACCACTGGGAACAAAAGAAGCACGAGCTGCAGGTTTCGAGAAGGCCGTCCGGAATTTGTCCCGGCTGGCAAGGTCCGGGCGAACGAAACAAACAGTTTAGCGTGAGGTAGAACGACTCAGGTAGCTCTTCATCGGACGGGATGGTACATAGTAGTGTACGATTTTAATCCACAAACGCGATGGCCTGTGAGCACAAGAGACTTCTTCTTCGCTTGTGACTGGAAGGAAGAACTTCTGTGTAGGATCATGTACAAAAAGGACGCTCGTCCCTCGAAGGATGATACCTAGACGGAAGCATTCGTATAGCCAGACGAAGAATGGTGCACTTAAGCCAGGACCCTGCATGCTAACTGCGTGGCATGGGAGGAGCAGTGTTTCCCGTAGCAAAGGCTTGACAGCATTTCCTTCCCCCCCAATCCATTTCCCGTGTCGGCTGGGTACGGTGTGCCAGAAACGTTGTTTCTCCCGATCGACAGTCATCGACTCCGAACACCTCGTGACTAAGGAAAGTCTGGGTAGGCGGGTACGCAGTCTAAATCCAGACATAGCCCGAGCCTCGAACTCAGACGCTA